TAGTTATTTTGTATTGGACAAGCTCGATGGCATAACGCCTTTATTGGTAATACTTATGTGTTGGGATTGCTGAAATTTGATTTTATGTGATTTATTTACTGTTCGTAAGGAGAATCAAAAAATAATAATAATCATAATTATGTGCATTCTATAATATGATAACGACGTGTATATAAGTGTACGTATGCACATGTATATGACATTTCTCATTTCTTATTACGAAAATATTTTCTTTAGGGTTCAGCGGGTTCAGGGTATCTACTTGTCGGGAACTTTCGACTAGAGCCTCTTGATTTGATATGCTCTTTGATCATCGCCGATCTGTTTTCAGATGTTTTTTAAACAACTCAAACTTTTTTTGGGTATCATAACACGCATTCAGTCATAGACGCATGAGTTATATATGCCAAGCTGCACCTCATATCCACTGAAAGCTCTTTACTCAGAGACTTTGATATAGTCAAACCCTTGTCCCAGTCGGACTCGTCTTTTAAGATTAGATACTGTGCGGCAGTCCATTGTTAACCCATCTGAAAGCGAGGTTACTTTGACAAACATATTAAAGCATTTGCTACCAATGCTATTAATACTATCTACTGAAATATATTAAAGTTATGTGGTGCATTCTGGTTTGCAATGAAATGGCATTGTTAGTTTGAATTACGGACAGAATTTTTAAATTCAGATAGGTATCGTTATCAGATTTAATTTCACTTCAAGACAATCGCCACTGAAAGTTGATTGTTTCCTTCACACACAGTTAAAAATAATTTACAGCAAACAAAAAGCAAACTTAATTATTTTATAAAAATATTTTTGTGCGTCAAAAGAGAATTTTTCAATTTTTCGCTCCCCTCAATGCCCAAACAGTCCTTTTATTCGATGCTTCGTCGATATTAAATAAAAACAACAAAGAACATCTATCTTTGCGTTGTCGAGCAACGAATACCCTTGCGGACACATAACGAATGCTATTTCGATTTATTATGTGCATATCTGATTTGGTAAAAGAAACTTGGAATACTCTAATTAAAAGTAAATTTCCAATTTTCATTTTAACCAACGCAATATGACTGACTATATTGATACTGATCAAAGATATATACTCTATAAAAACGAAGAGGACTGTATAAATGCGTAACAGCAGTATAATATTCTCGGGAAGGGTAACGTAGCAAAACGCCTCGCTGCTGCTCTTCTTTTTTTTTTCTTTCTTATTTGCTGCTTGTGCCGAATACCTGTATAGCAGCTGAGTACGTGGCAAGTACTTTTTTGCCTCCCTTTGTTTTCGTTTGGCGCGCAGTCGACAGTTTTTTCTTAAAATATTTCCAGGGCAAAATCAGCTTAGGGGCTCATTATCCTTCAACGTTCATTCATGTAATTTTTAATTAATTTTCAGCGCCACAAAATCGAAACAAAGAGAAAACAAATTAATATACAAAGAATTGTGAAACCGTATATGAAATGGCTGCGGGTATGGACTGCCATTAACATTCGCACGCTTTTGGCTATTTGTGGCTAATGTATCCCTTTTGCTTCTTTTTGTTTTACTTTTAATGAACAGTCCAAAAAAAATCTATTTCCCTCCACAAATGTTGCACTCGCAGGCTCCTCTCAACCAGACACTCTGTTTCCACTCCCAAAGAACACAACACAAGTAATTTTTAATGAATTAATAAGCACACTTTCTGTCTCTGTTCAATAGATTGTGTGTATGAGCTGATGATAACAGTTTTATAAAATAATATAGTTGAAGGAATCTATCATGCAATCAATACTTGTTGTCCTTTTCGCAGATACGCATTAAAAAACGCGTAAATTGATTTGTTTGTTTTACTTTTGTGTTTTTTTATCGTTGCCCATTTTACTTCTACCTCCTGCTATTACTGTCTGGCTCGTGCTCTTTTATGCTTAATTAAATATTCATCAAACACACAATGGAAAACTTTTAAATACTCATCAAGTTGTGGCTTCCTCCTAAGATACACACAAGGAGCATCTGTCTCTGCTACGCAACCGTGCTCCCCTGGTCTCGTTTCGTTACCCTTATGGCAAGTTCGCACTAATCAATATCAACAAATCACCGTTTACTTTGTATTTTAAATCCATGTCCACCCTCTGTCTTTGGGCTCACCCGCTGCCTCTATGCATATAGCTGGAATTCCCCTATGGAACATTAAAATCTCGTTTATGCACAGAAAACTATAAACCTTAGAAGGAAATCTCAACCCTTTTGTTACACATTTCTTGTTTTGTTTATCGACTTTGTGCGTGCAACAATATGAGCAACAACATCAACAGGGCTCAGGTCGAGAGTGCGTGACAAGGGATACTCTGAACTTTATTCAAAAGTTTCAAACACTATTCCTACAGTAATCTTATTTTAACTTCATACCATATATGCTGTACTCCGCACCGCCCCAAAAAAAAGGGCCCAACAATTAATTGACTTGCTACGGCTACGGGATTGACACTAAATTTTGATTGATTTGAATGAGAGCATTCGAGTCTAAGATACAAAATTAAAAGAAACATAGCATATATGCGAACATGGGAACATTTCCATGCAGCTCGTTATCAAATTGAAGAATATATAAACATAAAATATTAAAAGATGTTGCTTGCTGCCTGCTACCTAGATTTCCTCATCTAAATTATTATATTTTGTATACTTCACTCTTAAATATGAAATTGCCATTTGACTATGGAACATTAACCAGTTTCATCAAACGCACTAACAGAAAGTTTAGTTCTGTTGCAAAGTAAATAAAACTGAATAAAATTTTAGAATCGATTATTCCAGAGCTGTTTGTTCATGGGAGATAATTTTACTAGATTTCATTATTCTTGAATTATTCTGTAAGCATTACTGCTTAGTCAAAAAATTGGCATTAACTTATATAAGTTAGTTTTGGTCGACAATACCAGCAAAAAGAGTTCAGCGAGAAATAAGCGTGCGGTGGAATTATTTATATGTATAGAGATAAAAATATTATTACCAGATATCGACAGCTTCCAAAATCAGATTATGCAGCTTCTAATAGGTAATACGTTTCACGGAACCCCTTTCAACAGCTCCAGCTAATTTTAGTACTGCAGCCAACCAAAACGAATCTTCCATAAAACCCCTTTAAGAGAACACTTCTATCATTGCCCAGAATACAATTAACTAGCTGTAACGCCCATACATTAAGCATCGCGAGGAATGCATAAATGGGGAAACAAAGACAAAGGCTTTTTGATGTCACTCTGCTGGCGGGTGCTCCACTACTCTAGTATCGTACATCAAACGCGGTCCTCGTCATCATATGTGACATATTTGAAGGCAGATAAGCATAACTCACGGTATGCGGAGCTCGACAATAATTACACTAATGCATTTACAGGCAAATGGAATGTTTTAATGAATTTATGCTTCGAGTGCCAAATAGGGTGAAATGTAAAGTCGAAGTAAAATCATACCAATATATATGAAATATTATTTTTGGTGTAAGGACTAAAATAGAACGACCTACAGTACCTTAAAAAAGGTGATTGAACTGTATAGATTTGGTGCCTCCTAACTAAGAATAGCCGTACATACCCAATGCACAAACACAAAAGGAGTTTTTTTTTTTGTAATTTTGGGTAAGCCACGGGGGGTTGTCGAACATTGAAATTTATTTTGATCTGTGTATGCTATCGTAGTGCCTACATACCATACTTGGTGCCCTTGGCTCTTCTCATATTCGAGATATGCTTGGTTTGAATACCAAAACTTATTAATTTCATAAAAAATGGAAGTGGAAGTGAACTAGTTGAAAGAGCATAACATATCGCATTTGGCTTTTCTTACCTATTTTTATATAATCCGCAAAATTAATGAAGAGCTATTGGTTTTTCTAGTTTGCACGTTCTCCTTCTGGATCGATCTTTAATGAAGATCTGATTTTTGATTTGGTTACAGACAACATATTTTGGGATCCATCTTTAGAGTAGCTTAAAATTTGTAAGCCACGTCTACAGGCAAGCCATGACAATCGATGTCTCTGTCAGTTTCTTGCCTAGTCTCGAGACAATCGTTATCTTTCCAAGTCTAAGAGCCAAATTTAAAATGTAGCTCCTGAGCAAATCAGAAAAGTCAATATGGCTTAATTAATTTGGCGGATGGCCAGTTTTAACCTGTTACTGGACGGTGATCGAGTATTACGTAGTCGGCTGTACCGGACTGCAACATTGATACTTGTCTCACTTTATGAGCGAGTGTCGAAAAAGTACATATGTAAATAGGGCGATTTACATTTCAATGGGGTGTTACGTGGCTCGAGTTTGTCAAGAGGAAGCGTTGGTAATCTCAAGTGACCTAGAACTTGAACTGTTTTGTCCGATTTTCAATGTAACAAAGCTAACGAGGTCGCCCATTCTATTGTGATGTTTAGCGTTGTGCATCAATAATCGATTAGATTATGTAGGTTTATATGTTATACCCTGTACCCACTGCCAGGGATATATTCCTACACCTTAGTATTTATACTTTCGATCAGTTAGCTCGTTTTTCTCCGAATTTGCCGTGTAGACAGAGATATCCGTAGTTCCTTGCTTTCATGTCAATTTGACAATCTCCACATCATTTATTTAATTAATATAATTAATTAATTATTTGAACAAATTTTTCAACATTTTTACAAATTAGAAAGTAAACAATATTTAATATCTTGAAAGTTCGTGAAGTCTTTTTTCCATGCTCACACAGTTTAATTATTTTATAATATAAGTATTTGTATAGTACAAATATTTAACAAAGTTATTTATCTGAATTTTCGTAGCCATCGAAACATCAGAACCACGAGTTTGTTTAATATAAATAATATATATATAATATAATTTAATAAATAAATTATAAAATAATTACAACGTTCACTGATTCCCGAAAAAAAAGCAAACATAATACTATGCCTTTACGGGAATTTTTTGAAAATTGTCTTCTAACTTCACAAAACTGCGTGCATCTTATACAAATTTAGTTTGGTTTGAAATTTGAGAGATATAAAACATTAGAGAATAACACAGGGCAGCAGACTTGTTTCACTCGAAGCTTCAAAAATAAACCGACATTGAGCGGCGATGTCACCAAAGCTGCGACAGATCGCTGACGACATTGTCTATTCTCTCTCTGCGCATCTAAAAACGGCTATAAAAGCAGTGTATTCATGCTTCCGATATCAGTGGGCGCAATGAACCTGGCCTCGCTCTACCAACGCGCCAACAAGGTGCAGCGTCACGATGCGAAGCTCATATTGGATGAGTACGCCACCATTCTTCAGTGGCGCTCCGATGGGCAGGACAGTTTGTTGGATGTTGGGTCCGGACCAGGAAATGTGCTAATGGACTTTGTGCATCCACTTCTACCAAAGAACTATGAGATGCTAGTTGGCACTGATGTCTCAAAAAAGATGGTGGGTTATGCAAACAAATTATACGAGCGTTACGCACGAACGCAGTTTCAAGTCCTGGACATTGGCTGTGAACAATTGCCTGATCAGCTCAAGGGCCGGTTTGATCACGTCACATCTTTTTACTGCCTGCATTGGGTACAGAATCTGCAGACCGCTTTGCATAACATTTACAATTTGCTGCGAAATGAAGGTGGCGATTGCTTACTTGTCTTTCTGGCCACCAATCCAGTTTATGAAGTATACAAGGTGCTGCAAACTGATAGAAAATGGGCTAGTTTTATGCAGGATGTGGAACAGTTCATTTCCCCCTTGCATTATAGCGACGATCCTGTCAATCAGTTCGATAAACTTTTAAACGAAGCCGGCTTCGTTTATCGCAGTGTCGAGCTACGCAGCGAGGTTTTTGTCTACGAGGGTGTGCGCACATTAAAAGGTGAGACTGGTACCCTTTCGTTTGATTTAATTATTTTATAAATTTACTTACGTTTTCAGACAATGTTAAGGCCGTTTGCCCTTTCCTGGAGCGTATTCCAAAGTCCTTGCACGAGGAGTTCCTGGATGATTTTGTTGACGTTGTTATCTCTATGAACCTCAAAGAAGATCAGAAAATCGATTGCGAAAAAGATCGGTTAGAAGATCGATTTATATCGCCTTATAAACTAGTCGTTGCCTATGCCCGCAAGTCGCCAGAGTTTATACGCAATGTGTTTAGCGAGACTTCTAATACAAAAGGCGTTAAATAAAAAGACATTAGATGGCAGGGCAGAATAGAATAGGATAGATAGCTTGATCAATGTATGTATGTAGTAGCTAAAAATAAACTCTTAATATTATAGAATTTTAAGCAAATTGTTTTACCGTGAATCCATTGAAAATGGCTAAAAAGGATATTAGGTTTTTGTTGCCGCTTTTCGATAACTTTCTCCGTTTCTGAGCAATCGATAAATTCGACATCGAAATCGTGTATTTCAAACAAATCTTGTAGGTCAGATGCGGGTAATGCGGATGCGCATCAAGAACATTTATACCCATTTTGTCCATTTTCAATGGATTGAGGGTATAGTTGAAGTTATTGAAAAGTAAAGTTATTGAGCGTCATTGTTATATAATACAGACATAATATAGATAGGAATCTATAATATAGTTTTAACTTATATTAAGAGATAAGTTATATTATGTAAATAGGTTAGAGGGAGAAATTCCTGACCTGATGGGGGGAGCATAATCTGTCTTGCACGTACGTAGGAATAAGGGGCGATAATTCCTGGTAGGTCTTGAGAAAGCAGATAAATGTAATCGTCCTGAAAGAAAAGAGCAATGGGCTAATGAAGAAGGACAACACTAGTTTGCTATAGATTTGTGCCTATTAAGTAGTTGTGTCTAAATCTTCTGATATTGGTAGAAAAAGGTTCAGAGTATCTCCTGACCAGAGCACTCCTTCTTCATTTCTTCCTTTTGCTTTCCGTATAATATATTTGTAAATCACATGGCATATACATTATTGAAATGTTCCAGTTTCGGAGTCAGCTTGATTATCTAATCGCTGTGTGCATTCTAAGTAATGCCTGTTTTTGACATACTAATTATTGAAAAGAATTCCCTCACACCCAACTACTACGCTAATTTTTGCTGCCAGCGTGACTTCCACGTGATATGAGCTCTCAAAAATATTGCAGCGAAGGCAGAAGCGAGCAGTTCGTGCCACTCTGGCGCTATGAAAGCTGGGGCTGTGAAAGGGTTGAAATCCTGTTACTCTTGGATATCATACAATATAGAATTTAGCATTTATAATTATCCGCTACCTGAAGCTGAACACGGCAACAATTTTAATTGTTTTTCGGGCAAAAATGTACGTATGCAACGTTGTCGGCGGAATTTTCAAATGAGTTATTAACGCGACGGCGGCAAAATGTTGATCCAACAAATGCGCATCATGTCATTTATCATGGAGAGGAAGGCGTGAGGCAACAGCAAGCGGCACCATAACATTTACAGCTTAAGAGTTGGACAGCTTCGAGGCAAGGCCTGCCGGTTTTATCAATTTTGTTTCGTCCCTTTGGTGGTGGGTTGGAAGTAGTAAATGTTTGTCTTAATCTTTGATTTTTGTTGCTGTTCTGTTCTGGCAAATGTAAACGACAGGAATTAATTTAGACAAATGATTTCTCAAGTGGAAAGCTTCAGCCACAGTTTTAGACGATTTGCCGGCTGTCAGTTGTGCCCCATCGCTATTTTTTGGGATGTGCGAAGCGTTTGGGCGTGGCATGCGATTTGTGATACCCCATACAACAAGCTTCCGGAACCCCACTCAAAATTGTTTTCGCAAACACAAATTTTCGTATTGAAATTTGATTTATTTGTTAATTTGTTTGTAATGAATTTTCCGTTTGCTTCGCTGCGTGCACTGCTGAAGAGCCTGAGGGAAACGCCAGCCAGTAGTGGGAGCAGCTTGGTTGGGCGTCGTTTAATTGCCCGACCGTGGTGGAGACTGTGCTTGGCATTTGGTTTCTCTTGCATCATTTGTTTGGCTAATTCTGTTGGCTTAAAGACGAATAAGTTCTATTCACATCAAAATTCTTATACGTTGATTATTTAAAATAACAATTTAAAATTGAACTTTTGACCTAATGAAATTTTTTCATCTTTCAATGGATATCGTGTGCATTGGCTGGAAAACATTTCTAACATTGCTGTCATTAATATAATCAGTGTGAAAATACGTTAGTTTTTAGGGCATTGTAAAAAAAATGTTAATTGTGTCTGCATCAAATCTAATTAGCCAAACACGTATGAATCTAATTGGAGTAAACATATAGAAAGGATTCCAATACGGTGTTTAAATCCCGGTAGTCTGCAAGGCTACTCAATTTAAGCCACTTTGAAGATAACTGCGCTTTCTTTTTGAGCACATACATAACTAACGACAAATTTAGGTTATATTGGTTCGAATTCCAGAACATGATATCTACTCCTGTGTCTAAAACTCTGAAATTGGGTACAAGGGTGACTGTAAAAATGTATGGAACAGGCACAAGTAAGCATCTCAGCTGGACGATTGTCCTTTTCCCGAAACGACTTAAATATTTTTTCATAAAAAAGCTTGGGAATGACCTTGAAACTAGAAATTAATTTTTTTGGTTCATTACCAAATCGTACGTAAAAATCGTTATTTCAGTCGGGAACAATTGCGATTGCAAGCTGAGAAATGGACTTTTACATGTAATGGGAAATTAGGCCCACAAATCGTAATGTAACTATTTTTTTGGCTTTTTGGCTTTCAATTTCCTTTGATATAATTATTATTAGCTTTATGCATGTGGTTATATCCAATTTAAATATCCAGCTGCGTTACGGTGCCATTCTTGCGTAGTAAATAAGAATTTTAATAAATAATATTGCAATATGGTGAAATATGCAGCGATTTTTTTTGCTACTTTGCTTACCTTTTTTTATTCGGCCAGGCCAATAATAAAATTTGTAAAGGGTTTGCCATACCCGCCCTCCGTTTATGAATTTTTCAACTAATTTTTCTTTGAAAAGTAAAAAAAACATGTTATGCTAAGCTAATTATGCACAACGTTTTTAACCCGGACTCGCGGGAAAGCAAAGAAAATCCTTTTTCATTTTGGCCACTTCATTACGTTTGCTATGCTCGGCTTTGGTTTATTTTAATTTCATTTTATGATTTAACTTTACACCTGCTTGCAGCATGACAGACGCAATGGGGGCAAAATGGGACAACGAAAACAATACCGGAAATAGCAAGGACGACGCGATCACTGCAGCACTTCATTTAAAAATCCAAGTCCTGGCCGAGGCACTTAAGTGCTTTTCACTCCTTTTCATTTTTGGCATGCCAGGTTTGAGACTATTACTTTTGCCTAAAATAATTTGAAACATTTTTGATGACGTCAACAACGAGTGAGTTGGGCCCAAAGGGACGACAGTAATACGAGGCATGCCGGGTCAACGGGTTACGTTGGGTTGCCTGCGAAAATCTTCGTGTAATCGGATAAGGTAATTGGAGGCTTTGTCTAGACATTAAGTGTACATAGTAAATTTGTTTTTCAAGTTGTTCGAACCGTGAGGGCGTAGCCAATGCTTGATGCACAGTGGGGAAACCAAACCATTTTGTATGCGACAATTTACATTGCTAATGCATTATATTTTAGCCACAATATATAGTATTATAATTTGGCACGAAATGTGTAATGCAGTTAGCAGGTGAGTCGATACGGCCAGGTTCATTCTTAAGATAGCACTAACTTTCCAAAAAGTGCACTGCCAATCCTTTTATTTTCTACATTAGACTCATCTCAGCTATCAGGTGGCAGATACACAGAGGGAGAGTACCCGGGCAAAAGTTCACCTTCTTAGCCTCCTGACGGAACGGAAAAGTTATTTCTAGTTTTTGTATTTAGTATTCTACTACGAATAGTGATGATAATAATCGATGAGTTACTTAGATATTGATTATGGCCTGAACTGTAGTATTACGTATCCACAGTGCTCACTCGGCAACAGTTACATCTTCGGTCTTTAATGAGTAGTTGAGTGAAAGAGCCCTTTGCCTATTTCTGGCATAAAGTTTTTGGCAACATATGTTTGTATATACGTGCAGGACCTTTTTGGTACAGCAACGACAACAACGGTGGCTTTTAATAAATCGATTTTAATCATATTTTCATCTCTTGAGAAATTTAATAGTTTTTTACAATAACATTTTATGCGGCCTTTCTTCGTTCAGTTACGGTCCCCACACGCCGTCTGACTCCAAAAACTAGTAGAGCAGCCAACTAAAATAATAATAACAGCAACAAATTTGCCACAGCAACAACACTGAAAAGAACTCTAGTCGGGAGTGCCTGACTAGCAGATACCCTGATCCTAGTTTCCTTTTATACAAATTCCAAAATGCCCTGTACTATGGGAAACGCTTTCTTGCTTAACTTTATTTTATTTAAAAAATGTTCTTAATATGAATCTTCCTCATATAAGTTTAAAAATATGCTTAAATACTTTTGTCTTAAAGCGATAAATATTATGAAAAAAGACGCAGAATCGCATATACTACTTCGGTTCAGGTCTCGATGTCTTGATCAGGTATATATACTTTATAGAGACGTTTCTGCCAACTCCATAGATATTCGCCATCATACCCTTCGTACCCGTTTTCAATGGGGTCAGGGTATAACAATAACTGTAAGCTCGTTGGTTTAAGTCCAAACAAAGAAACTGTAAAGTTTACGGGTCACACGAAGCATGCTCCCATGACTCCATAGCACTATGATGACGACGATGGCGTCGTCTATGCAGCTTCCTGTGCATGGCAATAAAATTACTTTGGCCCAAAGTATGGTACAATTTTCATACCATGACAATGGTGGCTTATGCTGCAAATAGTTTGCACACCCTCGGAGCTGAGTTCCATGCTGCACAAAACATCATAATTAATGCAAAGCTGGCCAATGTATGCAACACCTGCGGTTTGTTTAAAAAGACCGCAAGAATTCCCAAACTGTAGCGAGTGCTTGGCACCCATTTCGGTGGACGGCCTCCGATCCGAAACGGTGTTTTAGTTATTGGCATTATTTTCCAAGTCGCTGACATTTTATGTTTATTTAATTGCAACAATTTTGTGAACAGCCGTTTCTGTCAGCCCCCAAGCTTGCCTGCGGGTCTGCTGTCTCGTTTTGTGGCTAAGTCCAATCAAATTTCAATTTAATTTCAATTTGGCATTCAATACGCTTCACTTTTCGATTTCAATGCCTTGCCGCTGGCATAAAATTGACTTGAATTTT